CCACTAAGAAGAGCAGCAAGAGCCATAACTAAATCTAATTACTAGGTTAGGCAGGAGCCTTCATGTCTCAATGGAAGAAAGAGTAGCCAGGGAAATTCCAGCCCAAGCAAGTTCATGACTGAGATCTGACCTTTAATAATTTCTCAACTCAGCTCAATGAGTTTCCGTTTCCCAGACCCACTTTCTTAATTCCTCTTGCTCTGGTAAAGATGCTCTCATCTAAATCTATATTTAACTCAATATAAAGACCCACTGCTGCTGGGGACGGGGGAGAAAAGAAGCACCAAGGACCAGCTGCAGCAGTAATCTTTCTGCAGCTTGGAGAGCTAGCCTCAAATCCAACTTCGCAATTCAAGTCAAGCAGCTGCACCCCTCATTCAGACGGGGTCCCTTCTTTAAGGGTCTGCTCACCTCCGGGGCTAGTGACTTCATACCAGTCAGGCTTTCCTGTGAATTAAACCCGCCCATACATGGAGGGCCCAGACCCGGGCTAGACACACAATATACAGAAATAAATCACACAAACAACCTGACATCTCACATAGCTACAGGCTGATGGAAAGCACTAGCTGATAAACTCATTATGCATAAAAAGAGAAGAGAAAGCACAGCCATTGTGGTACAGTGGTTGAGCATCAACCTAGAAACCAAAAGGTCATGGTTCAATTCCTGGTCAGGGCACATGCTAAGGTTTCAAGCACAATCCCTAGTAGGGGGCTGCAGGAGGCAGCTGATTGGTGATGTTTCTCTGTCATCGTTTCTATCCCTCTATTCCTCTCCCTTCCTTTCTCTCTCAAAACACAATTTTTTAAAAAGAGGGCAGCATATGTTATCTTGTAGCCCCAGCATTCTAGCACAGGGCCTCAAACAAACCAGGCTCAATAAAAGTAGCTCAAAAAATAAAGTCAGTTATTAATATCTGTGAATGACTAAAAGGGGTGGTAGAGTCATTAAGATATTTCCTAAGTCTCCCTAGCTGTTTGGCTCAGTGGATTGAACGTTGGGCCTGTAGACTGCAGGGTCCCGGGTTCAATTCCAGTCAAGGGCACCTGTTTGGGTTGCGAGCTCAATACCCAGTAGGGGGCATGCAGGAGGCAGCCAATCAATGATTCTCATTACTGATGTTTCTATCTCTTCTCCCTGTCCCTTCCTCTCTGAAATCAATCAATCAATCAATCAGATATTTCCTAAGTCACCAGCAGAAGAATCGAAATCCTTCAGGTGCCAGACCTGCCCAGATTCTCAAATGTCCACATTCTTATTTCCTATAGAGAAGCTTCCTGAATCCCATGGCTCATCTCTATGGAAAAGATACTCAAATGAAACAATAAACTAATAAGCAGAAAATGTACAGCATATCAACAAATTACCTAGAGCCCTAACTGGTTTTGCTCAGTGGATATAGCATCAGCCTACGGACTGAAGGGTCCCAGGTTCAAACCAAGTGCAGGGCTCTTATAAGCATGGGGCCCTGGATGACTGCACAGGCCACACACCCATGAACGGGTCCCTGCATACAGCTCTCAGGAAAAGAGTGTTCCAAACAGATGGAACAGCAAGCGCAAAAGCCCCAAGAAGAGGCAGTGCTTTGGGAACAAGCAAAGAAGCTGTGCATAAGAAAATAATAATAAATTTAAATTTAAAAAAATGAAGATTCCGGGGTCTCTTTTCTGGATAATCTGATCCGGTAAGTTCAAGGTCAGCTAGAATCCTTTATTTTTACCCTGGCATTCTCCTATGCAGGAAGTTTGAGGAACACATTTATTTCCACATCATGGGATGTACGTTGCTACTAGACATTGACTGTGTTCTACTTCAGATAGCCAGTTTCCCCTAGTCCCATGGTCGGCAAACTGCGGCTCTCGAGCCACATGTGGCTCTTTGGCCCCTTGAGTGTGGGCTCTTCCACAAAATACCACGGCCTGGGCGAGTCTTTTTTTAAGAAGTGGCATTAGAAGAAGTTTAAGTTTAAAAAAATTGGCTCTCAAAAGAAATTTCAATCCTTGTACTGTTGATATTTGGGTCTGTTGACTGATGAGTTTGCCGACCTCTGCCCTAGTCACCCAGGACTAGTAACCAGGTCTCCATCTTCACTCCTTGTCAGAGTATGTGCTCTGAGAACCTCCTTATACCTCCAATATCCTTTACCACCGAGGGACTGAGGTCCAGCGTGGATTCCCAGCCAGGTGGCAGGGGAGCTGTCGTGGGCAGAAAGGCTTCCTTCAGAGTTCCTGCTCCGCTAAGTAAGATTGCAGAACTGTGCTCTGCTCTTGGCAATCATGGGATGTTCAAGTCTAAGTTTGCCTGGACTCACTCCTAATTTCCAGATGCACTGCCTTGGGTCTCTGAATCTCCAACCTTGCATCACCTACTCCTTTAAACAATAGCTTACATATATTGATGACACTGGTAGTCAATATTAGAAACTTACTCAAATTCTTTTCTGCTCAGTCATGAAAAGAAGAAAACCTTTCTACCTTGTTAGCCTCTACTGAAAAATTTTAATTTATAATGAGTAAATCCAGTTAATACCTGCAGGTATTAATTCAAGCAAGAATATCACTTCGCTGTTACAGGATTATTGCTTTTATTGGTTCTACATAACCAGTGGCAGAGCCTCTAAAAATGTCATCTGCTTGCCCTAACTGGTTTGGCTCAGTGGATAGAGCATCGGCCTGTGGACTCAAGGGTCCCAGGTTCGATTCCAGTCAAGGGCATGTACCTTTGTTGTGGGCACATACCCAATAGAAGGTGTGCAGGAGGCAGCTGATCGATGTTTCTCTTTCATCGATGTTTCTAACTCTCTATCCCTCTCCCTTCCTCTCTGTAACAAAATTAATAAAATACTTTTTTTTTTAAATGTCATCAGCTATGTAGTGCAGGTTCCAAAGTGGTCCTCAACCAAGAGTGAGTTTCTTCCCAGGGAACATTTGTCCATGTCTGGATGGGGTGGAGTTTCTCCCAGCACATACAGGCAGAGGTCGAAGATGCTGCTAAACATCCTACAATGCACAGACAATCCTCCCACCCTCTCAAACAAAGAATTCTCCAGTCTATAATATCAATAGTGCTGCAGTTGAGAAATCCTGTAATAGACTATTCTGGCCACAGACTATATACCCTGTTTCCCTGAAAATAAGACAGTGTCTTATATTAATTTTTTCTCCCAAAGTTGCGCTAGGTCTTATTTTCAGGGGATGTCTTATCTTTCCATGCGCTAGGTCTTATTTTTGAAGGATGTCTTACTTTCAGGGAAACATGGTAGTTCCCAATTCATTCTACTTCAGCTTAACATCTTAAAATTGTCTTTCTAAAGTTAGTGAAAAATATGATTCACACCTTTACAGAAAGCAGTGTTAAGGTTATGAGTAACAGGATCTATATTAGTGCAAAACAGGGGTTAGAAAGCATTTGGTCTAAGGTGGAGACCTGCCGTGAGCAGATGCTTAGACACTCTAAGCAAGTTGAGGGAAACCATGGAGGGCAGTGGTTACAGGGAGGCGGAGGTGGGCAGTAGCAGGGAAATACCATTTCTCTGGATATCCTGGGTTCCTAGGTGCAGTCACCTGGCCTAGTAGGTAAGACCACAGAGACCAGACAAAAAGACTTTCCTTCTCAGTAACCAACATGTTAAGAGAGCTCTTGATAAGTCTAGGATAAAAACTATGGATGGAAATTAGAAGTAACATGTAGAGAAAAGCAAATGCTTTATCAAAAAGTATCCTTACCCCTCATCCATCTTCTCATCTGTATCAAGGAGATTAATTACAACCTATCTCCAGGCTTATTTGGAAAAGGAAGCAAGATGAAACAGGACAAATGCAATGCCTGGCACATAGCAGACGTTCAGCAAAAGATAGCAAGTGTTATTTGCCAATTCTGCTTTCCTCTGGCTTTGACCCAAACCAGTTCTCACTAATGCACATTAAGAACTGCAGTTGTAAGCTCACCTTTAGAAACTCCCAAGAGGGAAGGATGGGACTATCCATGGCATGATGTCAGTACAGGCCTGCACAGCAAGATCCCTGCTCTCAAAATGTTTAAATGATAGGAGGAGCGGCTAGGAAAACATATACCAACCTGAAGATGCACATTACTCCATCTCTGCCACTGGTGAAGGGCCAGGAAGAGTTTCATTTAAAAGGCAAATAGAGATAAGATCCCCTTCCTTCCCGTCGCTGTCTAAGGTGCTTCAGGAAAGAACATTGAAAACTGACACCGAACTCAAATGCACAAAGGCCATCTCATAGCTCAGAGGTAATTATAAGTCATTTTAATGAAACAATGTGTTCCCTCAGGTTTCCATGTTCTTCCCAGAGGTGTAATGCAATATACCCAGGACACACACACTTATAAATTTATAATAAACACAGCTCCCCGGCTCACCTAGACCACAGTTCCTGGCTGCTGCTTAGCGACAGGTGTCACATTCACAGTGGCCAGTGAGCCCAGCGATGTAATTTCACTTCTAAATAAAGAAAGCATCATCGATCGAACCAGAACATCCTCCTGCAGGCACAACTACTGCTCCTGACTCATCATGGTGCATGTTTACAACAAAATTCCCCGGCCCACGTCCACAACGTCGGTTGGGCTTTGAGTAAATGCATACGTGGTGATGTGACCAGGACTGAACAATCGGTTGATTTCGTAGTAGCTCCCGGGGATGCCAAAACCCTGTCCTCTTTGGCCTGTGCCTCACGCGACACAGATCTGGTCGGAGCCTGGGCAGGGCACCGGGAGGGAACCCGATGCACCTGCCTGGCCCGCCCCTCTGGCTGCAGGACCAGCTTTGGCGACTATTTCGGTCTCCAGCGGAGCGCACGCAGGCAGGACCTCCAAGGAGCAGATGGCTGCCTCCTGGACCCCCATTGCTCGCACGCCCCGCCCTGGGCCGCCCCCCTCTCGCCCTCCCCTCTCCTTTCCCCTTCCCCCCTACCCCACCCCACCCTCCTACCCCGCCCCATCCCTGCCTCCCGCCCGCGGCCGGCCCTGCTCACCGTGACTCCGTACTTGAGCGCGATGCCCTGCAGCGTGTCCCCCGCGCGGACGCGGTGCTCCACGCGGCGCTCGGTGACGCCGGCGCACAGCGGCGCCCGCACCCGGGCGGTGCTGCCGTAGGAGCGGGTCTTGGTGCGGGCCAGGCTCAGCGACAGCTCGGCCTCCTCGGGCTCGGGGCCCGGGCGCGAGTGCGGCGGCGGCGGCGAGAGGGTCGCGGGCCGGGGCGCGCGGGGGCTGCCTTCCCGCAGGGCCAGCGCCGGCGAGGAAGCCGCCATGGGTCCTGCGGGCGCCGCCAGGCCGGGACGCGGGCCAAGAGGGCGGCGCCTCCGCCTCTGCCTCTGCCTCTGCCGCCGCCGCCCCCGCTTCCTCCTCACTGAGGCTGCGGGCCGCCGTGCCGCGGGGGCGGCGGGCTGGAGGCGGCGGCGGGCGGCTGCAGGGTTGGCATGGCGGGCACCCTCTCCCCCGCTTCCCCGGGGCGCACCTGCCAGGCGGAGGGCGAATCCAGCTCCGGCAGCGCCCCACCCTGCCTGCGCGCCGGCACCGGGAGGCCCTGCGGGTGAAGAACCGGGGCTGGGAGCGGCCTATCCTTAGGCATCCTCCGCGTCAGGTGGATCGTGGCGCCAGGCCGCTGCCTGCCCGTTAGAGGCGGGCAGCCTGCTTAGAGCCCGCCCCGGCCTCAGCAAAACACCGGCCTCAGCAAAACACCGAAGCTTTGCTCTGCCCCCTTATTCCTTCCCCAGCAGGCACCAGCTTTCTCAAACCTTCAAGGTCTCTCCATGCCGAGAGTCATTTCATCTCCCTGGGTGACCGCTAAGCCTAAGTCACAGGAAACATTAACACCAGGAAACACACAAGCCCCTTCCAACAGCCTGGAGGGTCCAGTCCTTTCAACATTACACCAGGAGGGTAGCGCGTGTAAGGCCTGGTGGGTGACCTCAAACTAACCTCCAGTTGTTTTTCACCCTTCATTACACACCAGTACCCATTTTAGTCCTGGGCTGCCTTGAAATCTGACTCGCTATGGCCTATTCTCCTGGCTCACTGCTTAGCATTTACTATCTGTACACATCCTTTTTTCTTATCGGCTTGGTTTCCTCTTGACTACCCTGAAATCATAACTCCCCAAAGTGTTCTCATTAACTCCACCAATGACCTCTTATCTGTATTCTGCATCCTGAACACCCTCTTCCCAACATTCCGGCATGCCCGTCGTATTCTACACAGAGTGGGTGCGCATTCACTAGGGCCAGGATTTCTGTTGTACTTTGGAGAGCTCTCCAAGATGAGGTTCCTGATAGACAGGAAGTTTGATTCATTGGCTGGTTTCCATATGTTGCTGTGCTGGACAGAGACAACGGACCTAGCGCTCAGGAGACGTAACAAAAGATGGGAGAGGAGCAAGTGGTCCCCACATCACCCTTCCAATAAAAAATTCTTCAGTGGCTCCCTATGGACAGCATTAACATTTTTATTACCCTCTAGAGGCCCAGTGCATGAAATTTGTGCACGGGGAGGGCAGAGGAGGGGAGGTACCCTCAGCCCAGCCTGAACCCTCTCTAATTTGAGACCCCTTTGGGGATCGGGCCTAAACTGGCAGTCAGACATCCCTCTCACAGTCCTGGACCACTTGCTCCCAATCACTCACCTGGCTGCCTGCCTGGTCACCCCCAACTGCCCCCTCCTTGCCAGCCTGGTTGCTCCTAACTGCCCCCACCTCCTGCTGGCCTTGTCACCCTTACTGCCCCCTCTTCCCCCCCTCCACCCCCCCACCCCCGCTTACCTGGTCACCCCTCATGGCCTCCGCCCCCATTGGCCTGGTCACCCCATGCAGCCTGCTTGTTCAGTCATTTGGTCATTCCTCACTAACCCCCTGCTGGCCTGGTTGTAGGCAGCCATCTTGTGAGAGCATGACAATCAATTTGCATATTACCTCTTTTTTATATAGGATATTGTGGTCATCGCCAATCTACAACTCATCCTATACACTCCATATACTCTTGCCAAACAGCCAGGTGAACTTGCCACTCTTTCACATTCATGCCTTGTATATGCAATGCCCTGCACCTGTAACACTATTCTTCCAATATTCTCTGTCTACTTTTTTTTTTTTTAACTTAAGACTTATCCCAAATAATACATCTCCATGAGACAGTTACTGGTCCTTCTCACCTGTCCCCTCTCCCAGCCAACTATCCAATTGTTATTGTTTTTCCATTAAACCCCAAGATGGTTTTTACCTCTTGTTTAGCATTTAACTTGCGCTTTGTGTCATATACTAATCCATTTCTTCTATACAGGCCCTGGGAGATGTAACTCGATCTTACTCATTTTTTAAACTCAGCAGTGCCTAGCTCAGAGCCTTGAATAAACCATCCAAAGAGTTGAATTGAGGTGTAATAAAAAGATCATGAAAACTAAATTAGATTAATTAGCAAGAATCTTCCATGCAACTCTTGAGTGGTGCCCAGTGTGCTCGTCCCAGGACCCAAGAGAACCCCAGAGTTTTAATATATACAGACTAGAGGCCTGGTGCACAAAATTTGTGCACTGGGGGGAGGGATGTCCCTCAGCCTGCACCCTCTCCAATCTGGGACCCCTCAAGATGTCTAACTCATAATCTTGGACTGCTGGCTCCTAACCACTTGCCTGCCTGCCTGTCTGATTGCCCCTACCTACTTCTGCCACTGGCCTGGTCACCCTCAACTGCCCTTCCCTGCTGGCCTGGTTCTCCCCAACTGCCCTCCCCTGCTGGCCTGATGGCTCCCAGCTGCCTTCCCCTGCTGGGCTGATCACCCACAACTGCCCTCCCCTGCCAGCCATCTTGTGACAATGTGGGGGTTGCCATCTTGTGATGACTTGAGGGCGTGAGGGCTACCTAGGCTTTTATTAGTATAGATGAGATCAGATAATATTTCAAGAAAATAGAAGAAATTGCCCTCAAAGGGTTTATCATCTAGTAGTGAGAAGGCATATAAATTGTCTTCCACTAAGGAAAAGTTTACTGAAGAACTTGGAAGTTTTTATTTGAATATTTATAAACTTGTTTATATGATATTAGTGGCCTGGTGCACGAAATTTGTGCTTGGGGAGGGGGGGTGGTCAGAGCCTGGCCTGCATCCTCTCCAATCTGGGACCCCTGTGGGATCGGACCTAAACCTGCAGTTGGACAAACCCCTTGCAATATGGGACTACTGGCTCCTAACCAATCACCTGCCTACCTGCTTGATCTTCCCTAACCACTCTGCATGCTGGCTTGCTTGCCCCCAAATGCACCCCCCTGCCAGCCTGACCATCCCCAACTGCCCTCCCCTCCTGGCCTGATCACCCATAACCACTTCTGTCTCAGCCCTGCCACCATGGCTTTGTCCAGAAGGACATCTGGGAAGGTCTCATGGTCTAATTAGCATATTACCCTTTTATTAATATAGATAGGCTATGACATACTGCCATAACTATAACATATCTACCAGTATTACTCTATGAGAATATATACTTCATGCAATAGGAAGGCATCTAAGGCATTACATTGTATATGATGTAAGTAGTAGGAAATACTGTATTCATAGCAATAATATACACCCTGTGATTTCCCTTCCTGATCTGGAAATGGTTCCCCAGTTCTTTTGACATTTCCTGGCCCTTAATGTGTATATATATATATATATATATATATATATATATATATATATATTTGTCATTCAGTGTAACTTTATTTGTTGTTTATTGCACATGATTTGAGGTCTTTAATTTCTAACCACCAAATATTCAAAGGACTGTTTTTTTCATGAAGTTTAACATTAACAATAGTGAATTCATGTATTCATGTGTTTTTATTGTAAACATCTGAATTATTCACATAGTCAGAGATCCTGAACTCATAAGCGTGGACCCTGCACAGGCTGGCAGCAAGCCAGGAAGCCACTCTGCAAGCAAACAGATACTCTGCATAAGGAGAAAAGTCATAGCATAACATTTAATGTCCAACCTGAGTCACCTCAGAATGTGATATATATATTGACTTCTTAACTCATATAGTATCGGGAACTCAACTGCTTGGTTGGTGATGGGGTTGACCTGGTTTCAGGAAGATTATTCCTGAAATAATTAAGGAAAAGGGGGGCTCAATCTTTCTTCTTGGTTGCCTGCTCCTCCCCAGCACCTTCATCTTCTCATCCTCAGCTTCTTAGGCATCTTCTCCTTCACCTTCACCTCCTTCCTCCTCCTTTGCATCCTCAAATCCTTCCTTGGCACCTTCTTCCTCTTCTTCTCATTTCTCTTCCTCATCCACTTCCTTCTCCTCCTTCTCTTCAGCTTCTCCTTCAGAAGGGGGTTCATCCTTAGCTTCCTCAGCTTTTGCAGCCTCAATGGTCTCCTCCACCTAGATCTGCTCCTCCTGGATGTGGCTGGTGTATTAAGAAGGGAAGGAGTGAGCAGGCATCAAGTAGGAGCTATTCTGTAAACCAAAGACCTGGGAACTCTGGGAGTAGCCGCTGGCTATGCTTCCCACGCTGGTGAAACCGAAACAGGTCCAAGAGTTTCCTGTAAGCTGCAATGTCAATGTCCAAAACTATCTTCACATTGAAGAGGTCCTGGTAGTCTTTTAAATATCTTGCCATTTCACTCTTTGTGGTTCTCAACTCATTTTCTGATTGTTGACTGTGTCCTGCATAGCACTAATGTCGGAGTTATGCTTATCCTCCAGCTCTTGCAGCTGCTTTCCCAGCGCTTTGCTCATGCCGCAGCTTGCTTCAGTCTCCAGGGTCTTGGCCTTGAGCAATCGCTGGCCCGTACCACGTAAGTGCTCTTGGCAGCGCTCTCTGTCAGCATGGTGAAGTGGCTCTTGTACCATTCTTCAGCATTCTGCATGTTCTTGGCAGCCACCTTCTCATACTGGGTGCGAATGTCCGTGAGCATAGCGGAGAGGTTGGACTTGGAGAACACATCCATCTCCACGGAGATCTGAGCATACTGGACATGCACCTTCTTCAGAAAGGCGATTTTGTCCATCAGGCTTTCGATGTACTTTTTCAGCTCAGCGCTGGCAAGAGTCGCTTCATCTGCACCTTTGCTCACCTCCATCAGCCAGCCCTCTGCATCTTCATGGTTCAGCACCTCTTCCTGGTAGCTCGCCTGCAGGTTGTACCCAGCCACTTCAGAGCCCCGGGGGCTTCCTAACTGCCCACTTCCCTCTCCTCTCCAGGGACAGGGTGCAGTGGGCCTGGGCACAGTCACGGCATTTTCATTAAAATGTTCAACCCTGGCCTGCTCCACCGGT